CACTTTTCTCCTTGGGATTCGGACACTCCGTTCTCTGAACGTCTGTGCTCTAGTCATTCCCGGCAGGGGACATGAAAGAAAGTCCAAGTAATCCTTGTCGTGTACTCAAAAAGATGTTTGGTTTTGTTGTTATTAACTCAAGAACGATTTCACACGCCTTCAAAGAAAAACTCAAATATACTCCCAGTCAATTTGGGTTCGAAAAGTGTGATAACTTTGGCGTAGGGACAAAATACCGTTTTTTTACTGCCCCCTCCTTGCACGCAAGTCATTACTTGGTGAAAGATTGTTGGTTCACAGTGTCATTTACCACATCACTGTTAATTCACGGTAGGTTCGACATGACCCGATTTTAGCGATGACGGAGAATATGTCTGAACCTAACAATCCGTATGGAATCCTCCTGCTTATAATAATACACTGATGTAGATAAATTAGCATCTTATTGACAACTCAATGGAACTGGATAAAACTGCGATGATGTCAAAGGTCTTTCAGTCACGCACAACGAGCGGTCGAGGGTCTCATATATCATGCGGCCCGGTATCGCGTACCATGAGAGTGACCTGAAGAGATATATAACCTCTTGCATGAAGTGGGTGGTAGAAGCTTTAGAATTCAGTTCTTTTTTTGTTCATGAAAAGGAGAGACTTGGAACTTTGACAAAAAGCTCAAAGTTTTCTGAAAGTAAAATTGCAAACATACCTAAGTTTGTGAAAATGTTTAACACATTCACGACGACGCCCCTTTTCCACTTTTCGGTCGCGTGGGATGGACGCGATTTTGTGGGCGCTGCCGCCTCACCACATCACCTCACAAGGGAGGTCTTTCAGGGCAAGCCGCGCTTTTTGGAAACGGTTTCTTGCATATTGTAGGGACGCATGTATGGACCACAAAACCATGTTTCGTTTTCGCTGAACGGTTTTAGTAGTACCAAAAAAGTGGTGAATGATACCCTTGATGGTTCGATCCCCCGCGGCGACTAAATTTTGCAATCAAGGTTGGCGGCCACTTGTTGGCTTCAAAATGGTCCTGACGATGAATTGACATCTGATTTTGACATTTAGCGCGATTTGGCACCAACCCGTAGGCGCCAACCCAAATGCAAAATTTAGTCGCCACGGGGGATCGAACCATTAACAGTGCGCAAGCGCAATGGTGCAGGTTTGAATCCCGCCTTGGGTGAGGAACTTCGACCATCACTCAGAGTTCCTGTGACATTTCTCAAACACTGCTGAAACAATGATTGTGGGGTGTATCGAATCCTATCAAGCGGGTTCGCAGAATTTTGAAACAGGCTGAGGGTGACGGTTGACACTGGCGGCACATCTGTTGCTCCCAAAATCTGCCAACAAACCTTTGGGAATACTCAGCAAGAAAGAAACGTGATTCATTATTTATTTGTACATGGAATGGCTTTCATGAACAAAGGGATCTAATCTGTTCAATACAATCGATACAATTGGTGAAAATTGTCACAATCGTTGGGAAAATATTAGTGCACCTGCCTGAATGAAACGCACTACCCGTAGTCAAAAAGAAGCAACAATACAAGAAAAAATGGACATATGATTAAAATTGGGCAGGACCGAATGGTCGCGCTGCTGAAAAAAGTTATTACAGCACATAATACGGTCACACAGGAGCTTAATAAAGGCAGTGAATGCAAGGGCAGAAGGGCGGAGCGGTCTTGGTGACGTCATATGCTGTCATTGGTGGAAGGACACCTAGGAGAATGTAGTCAGGACCTACGCCTTTCCACCAACGACGCCCAAGGACGTTATCAGCCACTCGTCTTCAGCCATTGCACCCACAGCCCATTAAGACCGTCTATATATAAGATGGCGATGGTCAGGTGGTGAACGCCTCCTCTCTGATGAGGTTGAAAGCGATTCGGGAGGGGCCGCGGGCGATTTGCACTCGCCGTGAGCGGAAATCGTCGCTGATCAGAATCGTCAGTCCAGAGATCGACATCATTGAGAACAGCTGGCTGTCAACACCTTCGCTCGGCAACACCCGACCAAAATCCCAATCCACAACTGCGTCTGGACTTAGCGCCTGAAATGACATTTGAGATCTTCATGGCCCATACATGGGATTGTAATATACCAAATGGTTACTGTGCGCATGGGAGGCTTTTGACTGAATTATTATGAGTAGCCAAAACAGGCCCATTTCATTTAGAACCATTTATTTCACTTATTTAGCATTTGTGCAAGCATTTACTATATTTGTATAAAATTTGGAACAGATTTGAATGAATTTGAGACGGCATTCAAAATTCTTTGTTACGTGCCATCACCTTCGTGATTGGGATCAGAATGCGTGGTTTATTCCTTAAAAGGGCTTTCTACTGCTAGATGGTTATCCTACTGCCAGGTATTACCACACTGGGTACCGCGTGCGCCACCATGTGGAGCACGATTCCAGACGAAAAATTTCTAGATTTATTTGACCTTTTCCAATGTTCCTGAACTGTTTGACTCATTTTCAGAGCCGCAACACGTCCCATCACTAATAGGATTGTGGATCGATTAATGACGATTCATTGAAAAAAAACATAAAAGAGATATGGGGATGCTTGACAAAGGGCGGTCCGCAATGTGTTATATGAGTTGCGGAAGTCAAGCAATGTTCGAGCCATCGCTGATCTTCTCTGCTACTAAACGGCCAACCTCCACTGGATGGGTTAGTCCGCTGCACGATCGCACCTATTTTGGCTCACATCCTAGAGCGTAAGCGTCCGCTCATGGCAATGGGTATTGGCTTGAGATCCGCATCCGAATATGCCACTCAAACTTTCAAACGTGCACTTTCTTTGGAGGCGGGTAGTACGGCACATTGTAAGGTAAAAGGGGAAGGGTACTGTAAGGAGGTATGTTTTATAAAGGACTATGACGTGGCACTTTCTGTGCATAGGGTGTGCCGGTATTGCCCTTGTAAGGCCTTATCCACCATGACGGCGCTTCGTGGAGAGCTCCGCCTCCAAGTGGCCCGCTCAGCCCATTACTTCACGTTGGTGAAGGATGGCCGTTTGCGGCTGAGGAGTATCAAAGGACAAGGCAAGAATTTTACATCACTGATCACCATCCAGTTGGAATTCGTGAGCGCGCAATCAAAGGATAAAAAGGATTCTTATCTCGTAGGTTTCAGGCCGCTTCCCTTGATCTCTCCTTTACTGCAAAACCATTGGCCACTTCTATAATATTTCTTTATCACCTTCATTTCTAGCGGCGACCGATTGGATGGCCATCCGCTCTCGAAAAAGTTCGATCCAAGAAGTATTCCCAGAAAAGGACATACATACAAGAGAAATCGTTCGGGAGATGTAGCACTTTTCCCCGAATGGCTTGTTGCATGCTGGTCTGGGCGAGATTCGATCCAGGTTGGAACCCTCAGGCCTTGCGCCGGAGAAGCGCTGCCACTTTCACTATGCCACCTCCTGCAACTGCTTAAAACTTATGCCCCGAGTTTTCCAGCGAATCACGATTTCAGAGCACTACGACTCCATAGTGTGCTGGAAAGTCACCAGGACTTGGACCGAAGAGGGAGTGACGTCCTACCCTAATTGCAACCGTCACGTAAGCGCGCTGCCTTTTTTTAAACCATTTATGTAATTTAGTTTGTTGAGTTTGGCTTTTTTTGTGAGAAAGCTGGCTCAGTAACCCTTTTTGTCAACTCAGCTCCCCGAGCCCCGCTGGGAAACGCTCTGCCAGGATTATGTGGCCGTCAGCTTAACCCTTCTACTTTTGTAACGGGGGACTCTAATTTCGGATTATCCATGAGGTGTCAGCTTTCTCAGAATGCTAAACCCATATTGGAGCCACTTCAGTAATCACTTTGTGAATCTAGAATAAGTCAATATGCTTTGTGGGCGGAAAGGTGTTGAACTCACTTTGATGAGATCGCAAATCCCATGCAGAGCGATATTCGTGGCGCAGTTGTAGAGCGCTATGGTCGTCGGTGGTGAAGACGCCCAATTTCGTGCAGTGACGTTCGTTAGCTGGCGAAGAAACACACTTGATCTCGGTTGAACGCGAAGGGTACGCAGTTGCGGAATGGCAGCAATCACCTGAAAATAGATTCTGTAGGTTACGAGAATCATCGCTGCTTAAATTTGCTACTCAGAGAGGAAAAATGCGAATTTTAGAGTTCCCTTATGAAAAAATAGTTCAGAAAACAGTATTGTATCATAAAAATATTTCGTAAAAGTTCTTCTTATCCGTTGTGAGAGCGGCATTAATTCAAGACTGACGAAATCTGCGCAGTATTTCTCTCATAATTCAAGATCCCTTTTATAGGAACTGTCTAGTTTCACGAAAATCTTTTATGGACATTTATTTGAAATTAGGCCAGTGTTAGCTCTCGAAGCGTCTTATTCTGTCAGGTGCTGGTTTTGACGCAGCAGGCGATGCGAAAACTGTCGCAAGGGCGTGGTTGGAACATTCTATCCCAGTCACGGATCAAGCTTGAGCCTCATTTTCCTAGGACAGGAAACTTTTTTCTCTACCGACAACCCCCTTTCACTCTCAAATTCATGCTCAAGCACGCTATCCACAAGTAGCTGATAATGGAATGTGCCTTTAAGTCCGCGGTGGACGGAACGCCATAATATCGCTATATGAAAAAGATGGGTTGTGAAGCTTTCGTAGAGATTTCCACTAAATGACGAGTCTCGCGGCTTCACAAGCTCATCGACGCCCTCTACTTGTGCATTTATATCGCATCCCTTCAGATTCCAAAGTTTTCGCACCACTGTTGATGCCAAAGTTTTCAAAACGCCCACTGTATGATGTCCTCCTTGAATGACAGCCAGGTAAAGGTGAAGAGCTGGCTGGCTGGCTGGCTGTCTCGCGCATGCCACACACGTGTGACAGTCTGTCCTGCGGCCGCCGACACATATGATGTGTTTTCGTACTGACAAGCCTCTGACAGCCAGCCATCAGAACCATCACTGCCTTTCCACATGATGATGATGATCGATACATGACGATCTCACACTGTGACAGCAGACTTCCCCACTTGTTCGGTGGATATTCTGCAATGCGATCACCTGGGTCAACTTGAGGGTGTAATGTTGCCAGGGTTCAGCAGTGCAGCTCCTAACAGTTCTTCGATTCGCATGGGAGATTTGACGGCTCAGAATAGTTCTGATGTAACAATAGAATCCAAGACTATCCAAATGAACCCTTGGATAGACAAATCCCTTTGAAGCGGATCCTTGGTTGTTTACACGGTTCCGACGTGACCAGATGGCTCAAGTGAGACCACTCTCGTCTTAATGAAAAGCCGAATACGAGAACATGACGGTTCGTGAGCACATCGTCCAGCCCTCCAACCAGCTTTCCACTATTTCATATGCTTTGAGAATCAATCACTAAAAATCGCCACAGATAAAAGTAAAGCTTTAGGATTCTTTTTGATAGAAATCTGAAAGAAATTG